CTTTATCGAAGAGTTATAAATCTCTTTAAATTTTACTTATTCTTCTTCTTTTATTACATATATATCTCATAAACTCCTTTAATAATAAGGCTCTTATTACGACGATCTTTATAGTTATATTACTAGACTATTAAACTATAATCGTTACTATATTATATTATAGATATATTCTTCTAGTAAAGTACGAGTAAATCGATATTAAGAAGTTATTATAATTTAACTTATATATACGTATAGTATAAAAGATATTAATTAATCTATATACCCGTAGATATCTTATAATAATTATCTATAAAAAATAGAGAAATGCTATATCCTTATAATAAGAAGTATATATATATGATTTTTCGAATATCGAAAAGAAATAAAGATATCGAGCTAATTAGTAGTATATATTCTACGAAATCTTCTACTAGAATAAAAACTTTCGAATAATAAAATAACTATCGAAATAAGATATCGAACGATTTTAATTCGTTTAAATATATATCGTTCGATAGATAACCTCTATCTATAGAGATTTAATTAACTATAATTAATATAGTAGACTCTTCTCTTATATACTTATTATATTAATATACTATAATATAATATTATCTAGATTAATAGTAGTAATAATATAATAAATCTACTCTTTATAGTCTCATATTAATTTACTTAGTTATTTACTTATTTAGTTACTTAGCTAAAGTACTTATTTAAATAAGAGAAGAGACTATCGTAATAGATAAATACGAAGAATATTACGAAGAGATTAAGCGATAATAAGACTATTATTATTAAGAATATAGCTTAGCTCTTTAAAATTCCACGATATATACTCTTTACGATCTTATATTAAATTATTACTTAGTAGACGAAGAATAATACTATAATTTAATCTACTAATTATATAAAAATACGCTATACTTACGCGTTAAGATAGTCTTCGCGTTAAAGTAGCTTATATTAAATATAGCGTATTTCTATATAATTAATAGATTAAATTATAATATCGTTCTTCGTTTACTAAGTAGTAATTTAACGTAAAATCGTAAAGAGTATATAACGTAGGATTTTAGAGAGCTAAGTCGTATTCTTAATAATAATAATCTTATTATTACTTAGTCTCTTCGTAATATTCTTTATATTTATCTATTATAATAATCTCTTTTCTTATTTAATTAAGTACTTTAATTAAATAGCTAACTAAGTAGATAACTAAGTAAATTAATATAAGACTATAAAGAGTAAATCTATTATTAAAAAGCTTGCTTTCTCAATACTCGAGACTTGAAAATAAGAATGGGTGCTACGCTAAGAGGCTAGTGACTAATTAAATTATCGAATTTTATTATTTCTAGTCTAAAATATATCTTATTTCTTATTTTCGATCTAAATACGAGTACGTTTAAAAGAGAAAGTATTATAAGACTGAATCTCGAATATTAACTTTGTTAATTTATTCTATTTAATTCCTTTTATATTACGTAATAAATAATAATAAAGTAAATTTATAGAGTTATAGAGTTAACTATACGCTTTTAAATAGTATAGAGAAGACGAAATTCGATAAAGTATTCGTAAAGATATACTAAAAACTAAGATTTATCGAGCTCGCGAGAAGAGCCTCTTCGGTAAAAGCCCTCGGAGAGCCCTCGGAGAGCCCCCGGAGGGTTAGGGGGTTTCGGGGTCTCCCCGAGTATGTCAAATAAATTACAACGTCTCTCTCGATTCTTAGTGAACTTAACGTCTCTCTCTAACGTCTCTCTCTAACGTTCTCTCGATTCTCGGATTAGATCCCTTAAATTCCTTAAACCCTTCGGGCTCTTTAAGGGCTCTCCGGGCTTCTGTCGAGGGGCTGTTAAAGCAAGCTTGAAATCAATTAAATATCACTAAAATAATCAAATTTCGAGCTTGCTTTAACGCCCTCGATAGTCTCGGAGAGCCCTTAAAGAGCCCCGAAGGTCCAGGGTTTTAGAGAATCTCTCTGAGAATTAAAAATAGTTAAAAACCAGTACTTGGCAAGCTTTTCACTACTGGAAAGGCCCCCCAGCCATATTATTACTACTACTACGAGCAAATTATAAATTTATACTTTAAAATCTTAAATCCTTATAAATTTATATCTCTAATTATATTTTTATATTTTAATAAAGTATGAATCGATAATTCGTTATTTCTTAGGGTATGAAAATGTAATTTACTATAGTGCGCTGAGGTTAGATCTTCGGAGGCTGCGGAATTAGCTCGGACCGACCTCGGAAGCCCCGAACTGAAGACCTCTAGGGTTCGCCGTCTAACTTATCGAAACCTCGCTTCGAGGCTAAGGCGAGCTCTTACTATTATAAATCTCTAACTTATCTTAATCCGCGATAAATTTAGAATTTAATTTTCTAGAGGCTTTTTAAGACTTTTATAACTTCTTTAAAAGCGTTAAACGTCGAGCGCTTAAAGACGTAATTTAATAAATTATAAATTCATATCTTAAAGAATAGTAAATTATATTTTTATACTCTAAGATTTAATAAAGAGATATAAAAATATAATTAGAGATATGAAATTATAAGAATTTAAGCTTTTAGAGTATAAATTTATAATTTATCTCTATTACTACTAACTATCTTCGTAAAATTCTTTATATTATATTACTTCTTCTCTTATAAAATATCTAATTAAGTAACTAACTAAGTAGCTAACTAAATGAATTATTATAAGATTATAGAGAGTAGGTCTATTATATTATTACTACTACTAACTATCTTCGTAATTCTCTTCGTAATATATTATTTCTTCTCTTATAGAATATTAAATTAAGTAACTAGCTAAGTAGCTAACTAAATAGACTAATATAAAATCGTAGAGAGTAGATTTATTATATTACTACTACTATTAACTATCTTTATAATATTCTTTATATTTATCTACTATAATAATTTCTTCTCTTATTAAGTATCGAGCTAGTATAAGATCGTAGAGAGTAGATCTATTATATTACTACTACTACTAATATCTTTATAATTCTCTCTATAATATATTATTTCTTCTCTTATAGAATATTAGATTAAGTAATTAACTAAGTAGCTAACTAAGTAAATTAATATAAGATTATAAAGAGTAAAGCTATTATATTATTACTATTACTAACTATCTTCGTAATTTCAATTTTATATATCTAAATAAGTAGTTACGTTAACGTCGTATAGAGTAACTTTATAATTAAATTACTATTTTATAATATAAAATAGTAATTTAATTTATAGGTAATTGACGAGGTTAATAACTACTCTATATGATTAGCCTATTAGATTATTACCCTTTTCGTTTTGAATTATTATTTTGAATTATATTGCTAAACCTGTCTAGTGTGGGTAAGTAGGTAGATAGGTAGCTACGCAGCTACCTACCTACCTACCTACCTATATTACGGCGTACCTACCTATATTACGGCGTACCTACCTACATTACGGCGTACCTATCTACATTGCTCCGTACCTATCTACCTATATTGCTCCGTACCTATCTACCTACATTGCTGCGCGCGTACCTACCTACCTACCTACACTGCTACACGCCTACCTACCTATCTACCTACACTACTACGCATTTATCTATATTGCTGCGAGCTTACCGCATCTACCTATCTATCTATCTACATTGTCTATTCAATAGTCTTAGTAGTAGTGCTCTATCCAGTGGTTCCAGTAGTAATACTCTATCTAGTGGTCCCAGTAGTGCTCCCCGTAGTGCTCCCAGCAGTGCTCTGTCCAGTGGTCCCAGTAGTGCTCCCAGCAGTAATCTTAGTAGTGCTCTATCCAGTGCTTCCAGTAGTAGTGCTCTATTTAGTACTCCCAGCAGTGCTCTGTCCAGTGGTCCCAGTAGTAGTGCTCTGTCCAGTGGTCTTAGTAGTACTCCCCGTAGTGCTCCCAGTAGTGCGCTATCTAGTACTTCCAGTACTACTCTTTATAGTGCTCTATTAATTGCTCTTAGTACTGGAAGTAGTACTAAGAGCACTGGATAGCGCACTGCACTACTGGGACCACTGGACAGAGCACTACTGGGAGCACTGGATAGAGCACTACTACTGAAAGCACTGGACAGCGCACTACTACTAGGACCACTGGACAGAGTACTACTATTGGGACCACTGGACAGAGCACTACTGGGAGCACTACTGGAACCACTGGATAGAGCACTACTGGGACCACTGCTGGGAGCACTACTACTAAAGCATGGAAGCACTTGGACAGCGCACTACTACTGGGACCACTGGACAGAGCACTGCTGGGAGCACTACTGGGACCACTGCTGAGACCACTAGATAGAGCACTACTGGGACCACTGCTGAGAGCACTACTACTGAAAGCACTGGACAGCGCACTACTACTGGGACCACTGGACAGAGCACTACTGGGAGCACTGGACAGAGTACTACTGGGACCACTGGACAGAGCACTACTACTGGGACCACTGGATAGAGCACTACTACTGGGACCACTGGATAGAGCACTCTACTGGGCTGAGAGCACTACTGAGAGCACTGCTGGGACCACTGGACAGAGCACTACTGAGATCACTACTGGGACCACTGGACCTGAGACCACTGGACAGAGCACTACTGGGACCACTGCTGGGACTACTACGGGGAGCACTACTGGGACCACTGGACAGAGCACTACTGAGAGCACTACTGGGACCACTGCTGAGACCACTGGATAGAGCACTACTGGGACCACTGCTGGGAGCACTACTGGGAACTGGACAGAGCACTGGACAGCACTTGACACTACTGGGACCACTGGACAGAGCACTACTACTGGGACCACTTGGACTAGAGCAAGCACTACTGGGACCACTGGATAGAGCACTGCTGAGAGCACTACTGGGAGCACTGCTGGGACCACTGGACAGAGCACTACTGGGACCACTGGAGTACTGACTGGGACACTACTGGGACCACTGACTGGAGCACTACTGGGACTGCTGGTAGAGCACTACTGGGACCACTGGACAGAGCACTACTACTGGGACCACTGGACAGAACTCTGAGAGCACTGGGCACCACTACTAAGACCACTGGACAGAGCACTACTGGGACCACTACTGGGACCACTGCTGAGACCACTGGATAGAGCACTGCTGGGACCACTGGGACCACTACTGGGACCACTGGACAGAGCACTACTGAAAGCACTGGACAGCGCACCACTGCTGGGACCACTGGACAGAGCACTACTGGGATCATTGGACAGAGCACTACTGAGACCACTAAATAGAGTACTACTACTGAGATCACTGAACAGAGTATTACTACTGAGACCATTGGACAGAGCACTACTGCACTGTCTACTGGGACCACTGGATAGAGCACTGCTGAGAGCACTACTGAGAGCACTGCTGGGACCACTGGACAGAGCACTACTGGGATCACTGCTGAGACCACTGGATAGAGCACTACTGGGACCACTGCTGGGAGCACTACGGGGAGCACTACTGGAAGCACTGCAGACAGCATGGGCTGGCAAGAGGTGGTTCGGTGAAGCTACATTATAGGGCATACCTTACTACTACACCACATTCTTATGGATTAATCTCGCACACAAAGATCTGTCAATAAGTCGTTTAACGACGTGTTTCTGGCACAGTCCAGCCGTCTGATACGCCATATATAGGGAGTGCAGTCATAGAGCTCCATTTTGGTGTGCCCCAGCCCATTTTTTTTCTTCACCACTCTATATAGAGGTTCTGCCCGATTTTTAGATAGTAACTACTTATAATCTACTTAAATAGCTACAGTGACTACTGTAACGACTACTTAAATGTGGTTCTATATCTATGTAATGCGAAATACCTCTTACGCACATTTGGCGGTGGTTACGGCAAAATTTTGATAGGGCGGCTGCTAAGCTTGAGCTCCCGCAAACGGTTTTGCAAAGAGGAGTAAGCGTGAAGTCATCATGTTAATTAATATTTTCACCCCAACGTCTGTCTTCTATACTACTGTCTAGGATTTCCGATAAAGTAAAATTCATTCCAACCAATCTAGATCGGATATTCTCGAAGCAAGGTTTTTCGAATGTTCCCGCCCAGCATGTTCGCACCCGACGATTCCGCCAGGCTTTCCAGCTTGAGGTACGTGAGGTGATCGAACGACGTCTCCTTCATTTTGCCCGTCTTGGTCATCCGCACTTCGACGCTGTCATACAGAAAACAGACGCGATGGTTAGTTCTGGTCCTCTCTCTCTCTATCTTAAGGCGGGGTTTCAACTCACAAATCCTGCTTCAGCAGCTCCACGAGGATAAGCAAACTCCCGTCCCCGAATGCCTCACACAGGAGATTCAACTTCTGCCCCGAGAGGAACCACTTGGCCAGCACGTCCGTCAGCTCGGCCTCGTCCGTCTCGTTGTGCGAGGTCGCCTGCGCAATGTGGGTCTTGAATTCCGTCCGGATGAGCTCCTTCATCTTGGACCCCACGCGCGTGCGGCCGGGGAATTTGCGGTGGATCATGTCGTAGACGCAGAGCATGAGGTAGAGCCACCGGATGCGGTTCTTCCCCGCCTGGCTGTCGGATTTGTAGATGCTGGTGACGAGTTCTTCGAAGGCGTCTTCGCTGCTGCTGCTGCTGCTGCTAGAGTGCTGCTGTTGGTGTTTGATGAGCTGCACGGCATCCGTGTTGTTGAGGAAGATGGCGGCGTCGCCCGTCGGATTGTTGCCAAGATGGGCGGCTAGGAATTCGGGGGGCAAGAGCTCTTGAATGCGTAGTACGGCTCCGTCGCCCCATCCTTGGTCCATGACATTGTCTGCTTGCGTGCACCTTCTTTTCCTTGGGTTAGCTTGGGGAAGGGATGATTGGGGCCCGGTAGTTGACAGTAGCTCGTTAGGGTGGAAGAATACATAGAGCGTGTGTTGTCGTCGCTGTTGAGTGAGTGTGAGGGCACCCTGTCCCTTGGCCATGATATTCAAGACGGCCTGGGTTGTATTAATTTGATCAGCATGCTATTTGACAGTCCTCGCAGGTTGAGCAAGTTAATACCGTGTCTGAATTTAGGAGCTCGATGTATGACTCGAAATCCATGCCGACATCTTGATCTTGATTGGGTGGCGTGTTCGGTGATGTGGTTGGTGTCATTGTCATTTTGTCGTCGCAAGGCCTCTGCATGTGCATGGGCAGAGTGGTCGATGAAGATGAAGGTGAAGAAGAAGATGAAGAAGAGAGTTGATTTGGATTGAGTAAGAGCATCGCTAAGTAAGTTCCAGAGTCATTGAGTTTTTGCTCATCAATTGCAACAAAATGTCCATCGGCGGAGACGGAGACGGATTATGATGATTAAAAGATCATGCTACGCACTTTGCTTCGGGATCGTCAAGTGCACATCAATTGCGACAAAATGTCCATCGGCGGAGACGGAGACGGAGACGGAGACGGATTAAAAGATCATGCGACGCACTTCGCTTCGGGATCGCCAAGTGCCCTGTATGCACACGACTCATACGATCCCAAAGGACTCTGGCTCCGCAAATTGAACTTGGGCATGGTCATGGGCATGGACATCGATGGAGCAAGAACACAAGCTAGACTTTGTTATCAATCGAAAGCAAAAGGAAAATGAATTAGGAAAATGAAGGATTGTAGAAGAAGCAAGAGCATAAGCTAGACGATTGCTTAGCTGTCATAGCTCCTTAAGATGAAATATGTCCGCTCCGAATGACATAGATACTTGACATGGACATGGACGAGAGCATAGAATCGGACGCTGAATCTGAATGACTTCCGAGTTGGTCTTGCTTGTTTGAGGGGGTATAGCGAGCCTTGAAACACGTCCAGAGAGTGAAAGCTCCAAGTTTCAAGACTCAAAATAGAGAGTAGATACAGGCTCCGAAAATCCCCACCGTCGCTGCTCGGTCGGCGTGTTTACGTCGCGTTTATCGACGTATACACCGCAGCGAGGGCTCTACCGAAAGCTCTTTCCTGCCACGATGGTGCATTCAGCTCCGTTCTCGACTGGCAGATCGCAATTTGCTCCGCAGCTTCTTCTATTCTGCGTTCTCTCTTCTGGAAGCACCATGCCGTATGAGCCACTTCACCTCCTGGTCTCCTTGGGCTGTAGGCGCCTTCTTTCTTTCCCATATTCCATTCCAGTTCAGGTCGCAGGTTTCCGGCCACGACTTGCTTTGCTTTGAGAGGCTCTGTTAGGGTGTCGACCCAGAGAGGCAGCGGGTGGTGAAGGGTTCGACGGAGCTTTTGTCGGAGATTTGTGCGTGAGGTCCAGCGCGAGCTCGTCAGAGGATGTTTCCGATTCGGGTTGAGCACCTTCATTTGATGACCTGTTGGAAATTGCAGAGTCAGCGCTGCTTTTCGAGGTCGCTTCCACGGGTTCGAGGTTTGCATAGCTAGAAACGATCACTCGGAAGCTTGACTCACCTTATCGAAACGAGGCTGGGTGAGGATGATCCGTCCTCTGTGTCAGTCGTGTTCAGGTACGGCGCAACACGATTTGCTGCTGCGATGACATCGTCTCGCTTCTTCTTTGCCCAATCCCTAGCATTTCTCAAGGCGCCGACTCCCTGACGGAAATGATCGGCATTCCCAGTCAACTTCCAGCCATTGAGCTTCCTCATATGATACTCGATTGGGTGCTGAGGGTCGCTGGACTGAGTCGCATGGGTGGAATAGATGGTGAGATCTCCGGTGTCGCTATGATAGGTAGATGCGATTGTGTGGGCGGTTCCATATTGCGCTTTCCCGCCGTTCGCGTACGCTTCAAGTTGAAGTATCCCACGTTCACCAATTGCCCCATCGTAGCATGCTTGTCTCCTGCCGACGGATGTGTCCGCTGTTGGCCCTTTTCCTTCAGCGAAGCAATTGGGTAGAATTGGAAGAGTCTTCAGCGTGGTTGGCTCTATGTATTCGCTGAGACTTTGCCGGACGTGTTCGTTCAGCTGCTCGGGGGGCGATCCTGAAGTGAAGATGGGAATCAGTATTACCATTATAGAACTGGTCAACACTTTTCATTCTCAAAAGCTTGAAACGGCTGCGTATTCGCGATTTCAAACGCCTAGAACCGGCCATTCGTGTCTCACGAACGTCTCAAACGGGTTGGAGAAGAGCGATAGAAGCTAGGAGAACTCACCATAATAGACATCCGGTTTGGCTTGGGTGATAGAGCCGTCGGTCAATTCCTTGAGATTCCCAAACACGAGATTCTCCTGGGAAGAGTTGTCGGCGGTGCCTGCGATTATGGGGAAGGCCTTGCTCATCACCGAATTTTCGCTCGCGGCCTGTTCACTTGCTTGCTCAAACTCTTCCCACTTGCGATCTGTGAACCTTGATGGTGAAAGAGACGCGCGAGATCGGGCCAACATAGTCCTCAGCTCTTCCACATTATCAGGCTCTTGCACACTTTCGCGATCGGTATGTCTGTATCTGCTGGGATAGATCCGATGATCAATGAGATGCTGTTCGAAGGCGCGGTCGTATGGAGAAGTTTTTTTGGTGGTCGTGGTCGTGCCTGATGCTTCCCCGGTCTTGATTCGTTTCCGTGAGCCTGATTGATTTGAGGGCATCGTATGACTGGAGGCAGGACTCTTTGTAGGATTCGGGTACTATGACTATATCAGCAAGCTCAACTGATAAGGGAGGAGAGAGCGCTTACTCCTCGGACGTGACTCAGATCAGGTCCACCTTGTCTTGCAAAGCGCTCGAGGCCCCAGTCGTGGTGATCGATACGAGGAGGTAGGTCCAAGGCCGCAGCAAGGGCTGTCCTGCGATTCCACTCTCTAAGGGTACGGGTAGTGAGCCACTGTCGGGAGAGGTTGTCCCAGAATGAAGGAGGTGTTCGTTGTCGTTGGTTACCAGCGCTGGACTGCGGAGGGCAATGGCAATCAGTCTGAGGTACCGAGTCGCTTCGCAATCTCTTTCTCTTTCGATTGTGATGCGCAGGCGATGTCGCTAAAGCCATCAGCATCAGCCATAGGATGGGAGTGTTGGTAATTGAGAATTGAGAATTGAGAAATGAGGATGCGTAAGGGAGATAGGAAATATACCGGATATCTTTTAATACCATTAGCTCTGTAATGTAATTAGATATCTTGGATACCTACTTTTGATTTGCACCTCACTTCACTCTACTTTCTCACTGCTTTTGATGAACGCTATAAGAGTATTAAGAAGACGAGTGGAGAAAGAAGCTACAAGCTCATGGAGTCTAGTATTCCTTATCTGAAGGCACCCTTCCAAGCTGTGTCTCCCGTTCCATCTCACCGAGCTGTCTATGCTGTGCTGACAATCCTCGGCGGACTCGCTGAAGAATGCCTCTCAATGAATCGTTATCAGCAGCGGAGAGATTGGTCCAAGAGAGCAGGTGGAGAGTAAATACCGGGAGAAGATGGAAGATACTTCAGCTCGTGGTGAGACTGTATGTATGCAACTACATAAGGTAAATACTTGAGCTGAATTAGGCAGATGAAGATGCAGATGTACCATACATAATCAGTGGCTTGTTGCCATGAGCTAGCTACTTGTATTTTCTTCCCAACAAGAAATTATATGCATCGTCAACTCTCCCGCTCTGTGCTGATTATACCATATATCATTGAGAAGGAACAGCTGCTTTGCAAGGGAATGGTCACTTCCCGATCTGACTCCTGAGCGCTCTCCCCCCTTTCTAAATTTAGCGCTGGCCTTGCTTTGCTTGGAATCGGCTTGTCTTACAAGACATACCGAGTGAGACAACGTCAATCCTGCTGCACGTCCAATGTCTTTGCCATCACGGCACTGGTGATTCATACCTCTCCTCCTCTTCGAACAAGGTCTTTCTTCTCACCTGCTCCCGTACGCACGCCCGAGACAATGCCCAGCAGAGGCCGTGTTCTAGGCATAGAGGAGAGGCCTCAAACGATGGAAAGAAAGACATCACGGCACTGGTGTTCTACCCTCCTCCCTTTGAACAATCCCGTACCCCGCCCGAGACAATGCCCAGCAGGGGCCGTGTTCTAGGCATAGAGGAGAGGCCTCAAACGATGGAAAGAAAGACATCACGGCACTGGTGATTCATACCTCTCCTCCTCTTTGAACAATCCCGTACGCACGCCCGAGACAATGCCCAGCAGAGGCCGTGTTCTAGGCATAGAGGAGAGGCCTCAAACGATGGAAAGAAAGACATCACGGCACTGGTGATTCATACCTCTCCTCCTCTTTGAACAATCCCGTACGCACGCCCGAGACAATGCCCAGCAGAGGCCGTGTTCTAGGCATAGAGGAGAGGCCTCAAACGATGGAAAGTACCACAACGACATTGAGACTCACAGGTGGCTCAGAGGGGCATTGTGTCGTACAATAGATGTTTGGAATCCAAAGTTTCAGCCCCTAGCCACTTTGCACCCTTCTTAAAGTCTTCTTCTTCCTTCTCAACCCTTCAGCGTCGTTCTCCTTCATCATTATCGACTTCCTCGTACACAACCGCCATTCCACCTGTTCTCGGACTGCACATCATCTGACTTTCTTCGTGGCAGTCAGTCAGTCAGTCGTCAGTCACTTTATCATCAGCCATACCACCCGAACGGACACCACCCTTTCCAACCAAATCATTCCGCTACAACCCATTCGCCCGCCCATCAAGCCAGGTGGCAGAAACATTCCACCGTCAAATGCCAGACATGCCCATGCCAGACATGCCCATGTCGGGTTTACGGTGGCTCTACGAGAGCACTCTCGCCATAGAAGTGCCAGACATGTCCATGTTGGATTTACGGTGGCTCCACGAGAGCACTCTCGCCATAGAGTGCGACGCGTCCGCAACATGCAAGCTCCTCAAAGACTACTTCAGCAAATACGACCGGATTGGCGGCTTCGGTGTCTTCATGGAACAATTGATCGAAACGGGCATCGACTTGAGCACGGTTCACAAAAAAGGTGGCAGCCTCGATGAGTGGGTCCGCTCTTTTGACTTCGTCCCTGGCAACGTCTTTGCGAGTGACATGACCGATGCTGTAAACAGATTGGCCCATGACATCGAGCCTTCAGTTACCGGTGGGTGTGGTGGCTTGCGGCAACTCTTCTTCAGAGCGGTGCAGGTTGCGTCGGAAAACAAGACGCGGATTGGGTGGGTGGTTTTGGTACTCATGGGTACAATGCTTTGGAAAGGTCGGCGGTCGAGGGGGTTGAACGCCCAGGCCATCAATCAGGCGAGTGAAGAGGACGACGGCGGCGACGATGGCGATGGTGATGGTGATGGTGATGGTGATGGTGATGGTGATGGTGATGGTGATGGTGATGGTGATGGTGATGGTGATGGTGATGGTGATGGTGATGGTGATGGTGATGATAGTGATGGTGATGATGATGGTGATGGTGATGGTGATGGTGATGGTGATGGTGATGGTGATGGTGATGGTGATGGTGATGATAGTGATGGTGATGATGATGGTGATCAAGGTGGCCAGATCATGTGTCAGGTGAGGCTAGACAAAGCGAGTGACGGCCAGCGCACGGCGACAAAGGCTCCACCGCGGTTGGTATGGGGCTATCTTCTTTCAAGAAGACAGGTAACTCCCAATGGCGAATTTTGTTTTCAAGTCTGTTTTCCGTCGAGTGGGAAGAGGGGGAAGAGGGGGAAGGGTGGGAAGGGTGGGAAGAGTGGGAAGAGTGGGAAGACTGGCTGGTTTGGGACTGATCAGGTTAAGTTTGTGAATGAAGAAAGATTCAATGGGCATGATCTAAGAAAGAGGTAGAGGAAGAGAAAGAGGAAGAGGAAGAGGAATAGGGTTTAACCCTACTTGACGTTATCTTTGTACTTTCAAACGTACTTCATGAACGTTTCAATCTTTAATTGAACCCTACAGTAACCCTTGGAACGTTTCGGTTACAATCACCATAGCTATCTGTTCGAAAGATTAATAAGATTACCTAGTCTAAGATTTCATCTTTTTCATCATCCTAAGCATGGTATGTGCATCCTCAAACTCCGCAATGACATCATCAACGTGCAGATCCAACCTGTGGTCTTTCCAACTGACGCCGGGAATCTCCAACACCCCCTCCTGATTTAACATGTGATCGATTGCCACCGCTAGAGCCAGCCATATCGGCCCATGTCCATGATCGTCAAAGTAACGGAACTCGACGTACGGGCACGGGGCATAATTCCCCATAATCCCCGGTATGCCAGGCATCTTGCCAGTGTAACAGATGGGGCAAGAGTAGAGATAGGTGACCGCGTGAATCATCTCGTGGAGTAACTGGGAGAGAATCTTGGCCAAGTTGTGAGGCGTATGATCGAACTGAACTGGAGAGATGTTGGGTGCGAATGTGGGGTAAACTCCAATCACTACTGGCGGCACTTTCTTGATGGCGGAAAATCGGAGAGGACTTGTGCAGGTGAGTCGCGGAAACATCAGCGTACCCGCCTGACCTGAGAACGCTCGTGCCTGCTCCTGCTGGATGTCGCTCTTGTCGTGACCGGTCTCAAGGACAGCAAGGACAGCGTTGCCATGACCTAATGTGTTATGGAAGAAGAGGAGGTTGAAGGCTTGGGCTGGACAGGAAAGATTCAGAGGCTGCGTCAGAGTCTGACCGAAGCGTGGGTAGGTGCACGTGAACCACAGGTCCAGCCCGCCCCGTTGAACCGGCGTCAGACCAGAGAGGTTGAAGGCAGGCTTAGGGAGGAGATGAATGAGGCTTGACGGGCTTGGAGAAGACGCGGCCGATGGTTCCAAAAGAATTTCATAACATCCTCGGGGAAATACGTCACTGGCGCCTCATGCTGGCCATGGTTGAAGGTGTTCCTCATGCAGAGCCCGTAGTCTCCTTCAGTCGCGGATGGGCAATTGGTCATGTTGATGTCGTCCTGAATCGAGCGGTGCAATGTTTCGGGTACTGGAGCGCCGGCTTGAGCATAGGCTTCGTGGTGAAGACGGTCACATCGCTTCTGGTACTTGTCCTTCGGATTCGTAACCAGACCGATGAAATATAGCACCAGTCCAACAAGTGCAAGAAGTCCAATGCCTAGAAGAATCCTATCAAGTATGATTCCAATTTTATCTTCGTCTTTCGGTTTCGCTTCTCCCCCAACTCGTACTTTTCCTCTTGCATTTGAGGGCCTGCCTGATAGGCCTAAAGATGGAGGCTTGTCGTCTTTTGATGACGCAGGGCGACGTGGAGGCATGATGAGAGGATTAGACGGAGGATTGGATTGGATTGGATTGAACTGAATGGCGAGGATAAGCGGATGAGCAAGGAAGGTCAGGAGTTTGGAGGAGAGGGTTGATAGCGGTGAGGGTTGAGGGTTGATTGCTCTTTATATGCGAGGAATGCCTCTCTCTCTCTCTTTTTCTCTTTTCTCTTTTTCTTTTCAATTCCGATTCCGTCAAAAGGTCAGGGGATGTAATAGATGAATGCATCTCTCTCTCTCTTTTTCTCTTTTCTCTTTTTCTTTTCAATTCCGATTCCGTCAAAAGGTCAGGGGATGTAATAGATGAATGCATCTCTTCGGATAATCTTTCTTTATGTTGTTTATATTATTATTATTGTTGTTTTATTCTTTCTTTGATTCCTGATACTTAATACTATGATGAAGACGGACTCAACGTGGAACCTCGGGCCAAGGGGCTAGCGTAGTAAAGTCAGGCTTAGGGCTCGGATTAGGGTTAGTGCTGTCCACCGCCGCCATCAAACGGTGATGTGTTGAATAACCGAATAGATAGATAATGCTCTCAGGAACTAGAATACATACATGCCTTAGACAATTGAAGGAGGATTTCGCAGACATAATAGAACAAGAGAACAAGCAAGACAACGAGAGAGCAAAAGAGTCAGAGAGCAAGCAATGGACATAGATGGTCACGGCCATAATCATATTACCTCCGCTGAAGCAGACACAGACACAGACACACAAGCTCGACTGAATACTCGACACACCTTGCAAGACAAAGACAAAAACAAAAACAAAAGCAACAGAAATGCGAAGCGTACTCGTAGCAATCTCGCAATCTTCTCATCATTCTACATCATCCTCGCCCCGGTCATCCTCTTCATCAGCTACATCCTTACTCTTTCTATCTACCAAAGCGCATGGACCAACTATACAGCACAGCAGGCCGTCCCCAAAGCCCGGCTTTCACACCAAGCTTTCGCTCCCCTGACAATCAACTACACCATTCACCTACCCCTCCTCAACACCCTCAACACTTCCGCTTCCTTCCGTCCCTCGTCCTTCCCAGCCTTGATCACCATCGCCAACGACCACCTCACTCTCCTTCACACACTCACTCTTAGCGCCTTGCCCTGTATCCTCCTCGACTCCCCCTCCCCCTCCTCCTCCTCCGCCTCCGCCTCCGCCTCCCTTCACAATCCCACAGACATCTGGTATACGTCCTCCGCCGCAACCAATGCATCTACCGCGTTGGGTAATCTAGACGACTATTACGACGAGCTCCTCCCCCACTACGAGCAACTCCTCTCCTCCGCACTGAAGTCAGAACAAGCATTGCGCCCACCGTGGTTCAAGGCTCTCTTATGCACACCCAACAACGCTTTGGTGACGCGGTACTTCACCGACATCTGTCCGTTCGAGAGCGACATCAAACGGTATACCCACGTGAAGGCTTGGGTAGCGACAGTGGAAGTCGGGATCGAAGCAGCCGCACACGAGAAGAGTACCATTGCTCGGAAGAAGAAGGAGGTCCAAAAGTTGGAGAAGGAGTTGACGTTGTTGGGGATAAGATTGCGAAAGGGGGAGAGGATGGGAGAGGATGATATGAAGCATTGGTACTTCGAAAATGTTGCGCTGGTCGGGGGCCAGGTCTGGGGGGTTTTTGTTCAAGAGTTTGAGAGGCTGGATTGTACCAGGGATGGCGCCAAGGTGGATTTGGAGGCAGATGAGGATACGATAAAGGAGAGGAATGGGTGCAGGTCAGCAAGCAAGGAGGAGGAGGAGGAGGAGGGATGGAAGGTGGAGGAGATCTGGACAACATGATAGTTGTGCTATATGCTACTTGACGCAGGATCTGCAAACGTACTGAGCGAGCGTAGCGACTATCTCCACCGTGCAGCCTTCGTTGTGTCCAGGTAAGCCAAGTCAAGCTACTCAACACCTCACGTATCTGAAAGGGTTTCGCAAGCTAAGAACACACACAGAACGCGGATCCGCCGCACAACACCTACAAGAGACTATCTCGCGACTATTCGCACTTGAAGCGCAGCCGGTATGAAGAGATATATGTGAAATCGATCCAACAGCCTCTCCATATCCACTCAGCGATCGCGGCGTGAACGTCTCCCCGAACCCCGTGTCGCGCTGCTATATGTCGCACGGATGAGGGCAATGATCAAAGCGCCTGCGGTAGCGGTCGAATTTCCGACGTCACCTCTAAGCGTAACAGACGTCAATAGCGCTCAGCGTACCCACCATGCCCTCTCGCACATCGAGCGCTAGCTTCTCGAATAGAAGCACTTCATCTATACAGCAACAGGCCTACATCGGGCAATAGGCCGCCAGCCGCGTCGCGCAGGAAGAGAAACTCGAGCTCGAAGCCAAACGATGAGCTCGGTCATCATTAGACTCCGATATTCCTTCACGGCCACAGCTAGTTCCAGCAGCCGGACAATAAGTAGCCATGCTGGAATCCTTATGTCGCATCATGCAACGTGATAAGTAAATCCAGAAGATCAGCTTTCTTGATTGCGGTATCCGCCTCTTTGTTTAGTAGTAACTATATGTACAATATTGATCTCACTGCCGTGTGAAATCGCTATATATATACCGCGAGGTATGTTCCCTAAAAATCAGTTGTCTCATTATTGGTTTCTCTCTTTAGCAGTAGCCGTACAGGAGCTTCCTCGCTCTTTTGGGACCGCTAAAAACAGCAATAATGTATTCCCATGGCGATTTCTTGGTCGTGAGACCCGCCCCTTCTTCGAGCAACAATCGCACTATCGCCTCATATCCGACATCAGCTACTCTCTAAAGCGCCGTCGAATTGCAGACATCCCTCCCGTTGACGTCCGCCCCAGAATCTAGAAGATAGTCGTATCGTAGCTAGCTGTCTCCGCTGGGCCGCCCAGTGCAGCGCGCTGTCCTTTCCCTCCTGTGCCTTTGAAGATTCGGAGAAAATAAGCCGCTTACCTTGTTTTAACAAGATCTGTCTGATGTAAAAGATTTTCGGCGTGCGTTAGGATACCAAATCACGAAGCACAGTGCAGTAGCTCGTATGTCGGTAGTCGGTTTTCAAGAATCCGAGCTCTCTTCTTGTGAAAGGGGAGAGATGAATCGGGAATGGATGGGATCGAAAGGAGCTAGAGACTTCGCATGCTCATGAGTGCTAATACAGTGCAGTATATTGGAAATGGTATGCACTCAATGGTCTCAAATCATGAAGCATATTGTTCATTGTCATGTTCTATGAAGAAGTATGTAGGAAGGATGGAGGTAACTACCTATCTATGGTGTGAAGCCACGCTAAGGCTATTTGCCACCATAAGGCGTAGTTATAATACCTCTTTGGAACTTAGTAGTGTGTGGATATGCTGGCCTCCTATTGGCTGATTCCAACACTCCCACACAGTCTAAATAGTAGGCTGGAAACACTATTAGTTCCAACACTCCCACATAGTCCGAATTTAGACTACTCCTTATCCACTCTTCTTGAATCCAATTTAATTTATAAATATAGTAAACTTATTATTAGTAAGGGTCTTAGTAAGCCCGTCCGCAGTTATATCGTTAGTGGATACCCATTCGAATATAACTGCTCCTGTTTCCACTTAGTCTCGTACGAAATGCTATTAGATATTAATATACTTTATACGAGAGTGAAAGCGAGGGTTCTTTATTAGTACTATAGCCCCCTAGTTATCTACTTTAATTAGTATTAATTTACTAGATAATTCGAAGTTAATATCTAATTCGCTTAGAAGTTTAATTAATTATATAGCTTTCTTTACTATCTGGATTTAAGCTATATACTTAGTCTTATAAGATAATAGTATAATAGACTATTATCGTTTAGATATCTAACTAATTATCTTATCGTAGAGTAAGAATATATAGACTTTAAGAAATCGATAAGTCTCTTAATTTAAGGCCTAATTAGTATTCGTATAGTCTTTTAATATATTAGTTATTCTATATATAATATTATAAATTAGTATTCTCTTTAGATAATAAATAACTCGTTTAACGGCTATAATATATTTCGAATTAGAGTTATAATTATATTATAAAAGAATTATAACGATAAAATAGATATTCGGGCGAGTCTAAATTATAAGGTATATTATCGATTTCATTATTAATTAATACTTCTAAATAACTTCTAATTTAATCTTATCGATTAGTTTCTCTTATAGTTAAGTGCTTATTATTATTAATATAAGAGTAGATATATAGTTAATTATATTAAATCGTGATAGTATCTTCTTTAGATACGTCGTTTAGATAATTCGAACGATTCTCTTCTTACGATTTCTCTAGATTTTTATATCTAAATAATATAAGTATAGCCCGAGATCGGTTATGGCGAATCGCTTATAAAGATCTTATTTAAGTTTCGATATCTATTTTAATCCTTTTAGATTATAAATCTAAATATTATTTATATATACGCTAACGATAAGTCGTATTTTCTTATTAATAAAGAGTGAGTAATCGAATTTGATAGGTTTAAATTCTTTAGATATAAGGAAGTCTTATAGGGTAAAGTACTATTCTCGTAGCGATTGCTTTAGACTATATAATACTCTAAATAATAGATATACCTTATTACCTTTCTTTTTATACCCTTTAGACTATTTTATATAGATAATTTTCTTTAATAGTATATTAAGAAATACGATAATAATATTTATTTACTTATAGTTTAGATCGTAGTATATTATAATTATAAATAATATCTTAAATAATATAGACTTAATTACTAAGGCGAAGGTCTGATTATAATTAACGTCGTAGATCTATTTAAAACCTCGAACTATCTAGCGTACTTTATAGAGAATAAAGTTATTAAGTTTCTTTTTTATCTTATAGATCCATCTACTAATAAGAATTAATATATTCTTTATTCTCGAAATAAGCTTTTAAGTATCTATTATAATAAAGGAATTCATTTACTTATTTATAGCCTTCTTTTATTATTTAATATAAAGGCCAGCTATTATCTAATTATAGATTAATAACTCGAAATTATTAATCTCCGTAATAGTCTATTAATATCTTATATTAGTTATTTATTAAATAGTAGTAGCGAGATTAAAGACGAGATCGAAGTTATAATAATCTAGATTCTTATAACTTAGTATAGCTTATCTATAGTATAAACGTTTTAATTCGAGGATTTTATTATACTTAATATAGATAATAGCCCTCTAGGCCTATATTTTAATATTACTCTATTTATTATTTAGAAGAATTTTCTAAGAAGATATAGAAGTTCGTTTTAGTTAAGAATTATATATCGTATCGAAATATAGATCTAAGTGAGTAATAGAGCTACCTCGAGGTATCTCTTTAACGTCGTCGTCGTTAAATCCTTCTAAGCCTATATTACTATCTCCTATATCTTCGACTTCTTCGATTTCTTCGATATTTCCATTAAAAAGAATATTTCTAATTTTATTTATATTGATAGAGTCTATATCGATATCGATAACGGTCTTAGATATATGTTAATATACTATAGAGTTACCCTCTATATTAAATATATCTATTATATCGTTATTAATAGCCTCGACTAGCTAATAGTCGATATTCGAGACCGTAGTAATTATTATTTATAATTCGTTAAAATCGATATAGGAGAATCGTTTTACTTATCGAGTAACTAAATTTTATATTTGAAAGATATTTATATCTTCGTAGTTAATTAGATAGCACTTCTTACTACGTTTATCGAGCTTCTTACGCTTTTTCTTAGATATATATACCTAAGTAACGTAGTCGATAATCTTTATATAGTCGAGATATAATTATTTATCTATTTATATCTTATATAGTATTATATCTTAAAGGCGGGTAATGAAATTTCTATTCTTTTAATATACTTTAATATAAAGTAGTTCTAATTATAAATAGCGGGATAACTTCGAATTAAAAAGTATAGCCCTTACTCTATTTATAATAATCCGATTTTATATCTCGCTAAGTCTATTTTACTTAGACGTATAGAGTATAGTAGACTCTTATATAATTTCGAAGTTCTTAAAGTATTCTTTAAACTTATTATTAATAAATTCGATATTATTATTTAAACGAACTATCTTAACCTTATAATCGAATTCGTTTTTTATCTAAATTTTTCAATTACGAAATAACTTAAAGATCTTATCTTTATACTTATACGTGAAGTATTAGATTCGAAGAGTCGCTTAGTCGATTAGAAGTATATAATACTTAATCTTATTAATAAACGATATATTGAAAGATTCTTCTAAGTCTATATAAATCTTATCGAGTTTTTCGAGTACCTCGTATTATACTCTTCTTAAAACCTTTCATATAAATTTAGTCTTAAAATAGGCCTTATATATTAATCTAATTCGAGGTTTTTAAGTTAATATAATATCCTTACTTATATTAATTAATCTCTTAAAGTTCGTCTTATTTAAATATTCTATTCGACGATACTATAGCTCGATAGCTTTCTCGTTAAATATTAGACTTATTATTAAGACCTTTATATTCTTCTAAATAAGTATCGAAACCTTAATTATAGATTGTAAGATGTTGAGAATATAGATATTATTTATCTTCGGAGTGCTATTAATAAGCTTACTATCTTAAAGAATATAATAGTTATTATTAAGAAAGATAATTTTAAATCCTTTTCGTATAGCTTAATTAATTGAAAATAATTCGTATATAAGATTCGAAATATATAAGACTTTACTAACTTTCACGATATTACTAGATTTATTCTATAATAGCTATTTTATTTTAATTATATCGCGGCTCTACGTTTAAACGATAATCTTATCGACTAT